GGTGCTGTCTCAGCTCTCCTCTCATGTCTGAGGGCCTGTCAGGGTGCTTGGCCATGGGCTCAGTGGGATCTCCTCCCCATCCCAGCCTCACTAACCCAACTTTCCCCTCAGGACCATTCTCATGATGGGCCGCTACGTGGAGCCCATCGAGGACGTGCCTTGTGGAAACATCGTGGGGCTGGTCGGTGTGGACCAGTTCCTCGTGAAGACTGGAACCATCACCACCTTTGAGCACGCCCACAACATGAGGGTGATGAAGTTCAGCGTCAGCCCCGTGGTGCGCGTGGCCGTGGAGGCCAAGAACCCGGCCGACCTGCCCAAGCTGGTGGAGGGGCTGAAGCGCCTGGCCAAGTCTGACCCCATGGTGCAGGTGAGTGCCTGCTGCAGGAATGGATCTGGGGGTGCTGCCTGCACTCCTGGGCAAGTATTGAGTTGGGTGTTGGTCCCTGGCTTGGTGCTCTGACACCAGCAGATCGGTGGGGAGAACATCCAGAGGTAGCTCAGTGGGTCAAACACAACACAGAGAGAGTTGCTGGTGTTTGTGGCTGTGGCTCGTTCTGAAGCTTCACCTGCTGTTCCCAGTGCATCATTGAGGAGTCAGGGGAGCACATCATCGCTGGCGCCGGGGAGCTGCACCTGGAGATCTGCCTGAAGGACCTGGAGGAGGACCACGCCTGCATCCCCATTAAGGTAGAGAGGCTGATGCTGGCTGAGCTCAGGGCTGGGCCTTTGTCCAGCTCTGGTGCCTCACGCCCACCCTGTCCCCGCAGAAATCGGATCCCGTGGTGTCGTACCGCGAGACGGTGAGCGAGGAGTCCAACGTGATGTGCCTTTCCAAGTCCCCCAACAAACACAACCGGCTGTACATGAAGGCACGGCCCTTCCCCGACGGGCTGGCCGAGGACATCGACAAGGGCGAGGTGTCGGCCCGGCAGGAGCTGAAGCAGCGGGCGCGGTACCTGGCTGAGAAGTACGAGTGGGACGTCACCGAGGCCAGGAAGATCTGGTGCTTCGGGCCCGACGGCACCGGCCCCAACATCCTCACCGACATCACCAAGGGAGTGCAGTACCTCAACGAGATCAAGGACAGCGTGGTGGCCGGCTTCCAGTGGGCCACCAAGGAGGTGAGGCCTGGTGTCTTGGTCTGGGTGGCATCCAGGGTTCGACACGTCCTTATTTTTGTAATGCATCTCATGGAGCAAAATGTAATATCTGGGCAGTGAATAACAGAACTGGCTTCAGGAGGAAAGGTGCTCTGAGGGTCTTGGCCTTATCTAGCAATTATCTTCAGGATTAGACAGGAGAGGACTGCAGGGTAAATTGACAGATTGGGAACAGCAACTGCAAAGATTCATTTTCCTGTTTACCATTCAGTTTCAGTCTGAGGGAGATTTCAGGCCAGCAACTTCTATGACATTACTGAGACCAAAAAAAAACCCAACCATTTTCCTTGGCCAAATACTTGGGTTTCAGCACCATAAATGCGTGACAGCTCTTGTGGCTTGAACCTCAGAGCTGATCCACGAGGATGCTGCAGTGCTGGCACAGGGCTGGGACCTGGTGCCCCTTAAGTTGGCGAAGACCTCCTAGAGTCCAACCTTTGTAGGTTTGAAGGTTCATCCCTCAGCAAGGAGATTGAATGGCTCCTGGGTGGGCTTGCTGCTCAAGGAGCTGCTTCCTACAAAGGTTTGAAGGTTCATCCTTCAGCAAGGATGTTGAGTGGCTCCTGGTGGGCTTTCTGCTCAAGGAACTACTGCCTACAAAGGTTTGAAGGTTAATCCTTCAGCAAGGAGATTGAGTGGCACCTGGGTGGGTTTGCTGCTCAAGGAGCTACTGCCTACAAACCTACAAAGGTTTGAAGGTTCATCCCTCAGCAGGGAGGTCAGGTGGCTCCTGGTGGGCTTGCTGCTCAAGGAGCTGCTTCCTACAAAGGTTTGAAGGTTCATCCTTCAGCAAGGAGATTGAATGGCTCCTGGGTGGGCTTGCTGCTCAAGGAGCTGCTTCCACAGAGCTCCTCTGAGCCAAGGGAGCAGCACCTCATGTGGGGACACTGGGGACATTACATTTCGATCACGAGGATGCTGCAGTGATGGCACAGGGCTGGGAGCTGGTGCCCCTTAGACCCCTTAAGCTGGGAAAGGCCTCCCACAGTCCAGCTTTGTAGGTTGGAGGGTTCATCCCTCAGCAGGGAGCTCGGGTGGCTCCTGGGCGGGCTTGCTCCTCCAGGAGCCGCTTGCACAGAGCAGTGAGCTGAGGGAGCAGCACCCCCGCGGCTGCCTGCCCCGGGTGGTGACGCTGGCCCCGCCGTGCCCTGGCAGGGGGTGCTGTGTGAGGAGAACATGCGCGCCGTGCGTTTCGACGTGCACGACGTGACCCTGCACGCCGACGCCATCCACCGCGGCGGCGGCCAGATCATCCCCACGGCCCGGCGCTGCCTCTACGCCTGCGTGCTGACCGCCCAGCCTCGCCTCATGGAGCCCATCTACCTGGTGGAGATCCAGGTGAGCAGCGCTCTCGGGATGTTTGCCAGCATTGCAGGTGGGACCTGCCTGGGCTTGTCTGGCCCTTGGTGCTGAACCAAACAGTGGCACTGGGGTGTTTGACCCTAGGGACACTTCTGGCTGGCTGGGTGTGTGGTGTTTGACCCCAGGGACACTTTGGGCTGGGTGGGTGTGTGGTGTTTGACCCCACAGACACTTTTGGCTGGCTGGGTGATGCAGTTGGCACGTGGGGACAAACCCAGGCCTGCAGGAGCTCTGGTGGTGCTGGGATGGAGCTTCCCCCCATAACAGGGGCTGCTCCTCAGGTTTCCCTCTGCTGGAGAAGCTTTAAGGGGATGGTGAAGGAAAGGAGTCGGTTCTGATGGAGGGTTTGGATCCAGAGCTTTATTCTGGCCTCTGATTGCAGCACCAGCTCCAACAGAACTCCCTGAGCCCGTGGTTGCTGCTCCTTTGAACCCCGGGGAGAGGGGAGGGAAGGGGCAGGGAGGCACCAAGCAGGGACAGGAGGGGAGGGACAAAGGGACAAAGGACACCTGGATGGCCCCAATGCCCCCCAAGGGGTAGAGGGCATCCTTTGGATCTGCCAATCCCTTCTGGAATGCCAGGACTGACAGTGCTGGGAGGGGTCAGGGTGGGGAAAGGAGAGGTGACACTGACACACCTGGGAGGGAATCTTCAGGGGAGGGACCCAGGTTCTGAGGTAAACCCTGAAATCACAAAGCAATGCAGCCCCTGCCAGCCCTCAGGGAAGGGGGGACGGCAGCTGGGTGCAATCCTGACTCCAGTCTCTCCCGCAGTGCCCGGAGCAGGTGGTGGGAGGCATCTACGGGGTGCTGAACAGGAAACGTGGCCACGTGTTTGAGGAGACCCAGGTGGCTGGGACCCCCATGTTCGTGGTCAAGGCCTACCTGCCTGTCAACGAGTCCTTTGGTGAGTCCTGGAGCCGTCCTGGGAGGAGGAAGAGCCTTGGGCAGGGCCTCAGGAGATCCTCGAGTTGAGCTGTTCAGCCAGCACTGAACCGTGTCCCCAAGTGCCACATCCACACAGATGGGGACTCCAGCACTGCCCTGGGCAGCCATGCCAGGCTTGACCATCCTTCTGGGGAAAATGTTCTTCTGGGGAACTCTCCAAGCCTTCCTTGGTACAGCTTAGGGAGGGGTGTTTCCTCTCATCCTGTCACTGGGTGCCCAGGAGAAGAGACCAAGGTTGCAGAACATTTTGGGTTGGAAGGGACATTTCAGGGTCTTTCAGTGCCACCCCTGCCATGGGCAGGGACACCTTCCACTATCTCTGGCCTTGGAGATTTCCAGGGATCCAGGGGCAGCCACAGCTGCTTTGGGAATTCATCCCAGCCCTTCCCAGTACCCCATCTATCCCTGCCCACTGGCAGTGGGAAGCCATTCTCCATGTCCTGTCCTTCCATATGTTTGTCCAAAGTCCCTCCCCAGTTTTAGGCATTAAAAGGGTCTCTAAGTTCTTCTTGGAGCCTTTTCTCCATTCCTACCTCACATTGGTTGGGATCTCAGGAGGCTTTTGAGAGCTGCTCTGGGTTCCTCCATGGAAACAAGGAGAGGGCTATCCATGGATGCAGCATTGAACTACGACCACTCCTGTCCTTACCTCACCTTTTATCTTCTCCCTTGCAGGTTTCACAGCGGATTTGAGGTCCAACACGGGTGGCCAGGCCTTCCCCCAGTGCGTCTTTGACCACTGGCAGATCCTGCCCGGGGACCCCTTTGACAGTGCCACCCGGCCAGCCCAGGTGGTGGCCGAGACCCGCAAACGCAAAGGGCTGAAGGAAGGAATCCCTGCCCTCGACAACTTCCTGGACAAACTCTAATGACACTCATGGAACTCTGGGAGAGCAGGAAAAATTTAATTAATTAGCGTTATCACCCATGCCGCCAGGGGCTATAGACGCCTGTGACCACCATCTTGTTAATTAAATGGGTTTCATAGCGATTTTGAGAACTTCAAATGAGGAAAACAAACAAAAAGAAAAAAAAAAAAGCCTTATAGGTTTCTGTGTTGCACATGACTCATCTTTGCCATTGTAACTAAAACATTTCCACTAGATCTGCCCAATTCTGTATTTATTTGACTCAAAAAAAAAAAAAATACTGCTGCAGAATGGCCTGGAAGGGAGTGGGGGCGTGCTTAAAGAGGACAAGGAAAATGGGGGGAAAGAGAGAGGGGGTGAGGGTGCCTTATCTGCAGCGTGACTGTCCGTCGTGCCCATCGCCGCCTGTATTAGTGCCACTGGAATTAATAAAATTGGATAAATGGTGACGAAAAGTGAATTTTTGGGGTGTTTTTAAGGGTGAGGGTGGCGCCCTCTGGTGGGAGTGAAGGGGTGGTGCTGCCTTGGACCCGCCCATCCGCGAGCCGCGGGGCGGGGCCTCTGGCGGGGAGTGGGCGGGGCTTGGATGCATGAGGATGCCGCGACGTGGGCAGGGCTTTATGCGGAGGTGGGCGTGGTTTGTGCGGGAGGGGGCGGGACTTGCTGTGCTGGAATGTGGCGGCGGCGACGCGGGCGGCGGCGGCCCAGGTTGGGAACGGGGGCCGGTGCTGCTGAGGGGTCCGTGAGGGGCGGTGTGGGACCGGGAGGGGGACGGGAGGGGCTGTGCGGGTGGGAGAGGGGTGATGGAGGGAGGCTGCGTGGCGTGGGGAGAGAGGGATGGCGCGGGGAGCGGTGTGCGGGGGTTGTGAGGCCTGTGGGGTGGGGTGGGGAAGGAACGGGAGGAATGGGGGGGGCTCTGGGTGTGGGGGCTGTGGGGCTGGGAGGTGCTGCGGGTCGGGAAAGGGGTGGAGAGGGACTGGGGGGAGCTGTGGGATAGGGAGGGGCAGTGTGGGATCGGGTTGGGAGGGGCCGTGGGGCTGGAAAAGGAGGGGTAGGGATTGGGATGGGGAGGGACTGGGGGGCCGTGGGTGTGAGAGGGGCTCTGGGGAATTGGGGTGGGGAGGGGCTGTGGGGCAGGAAAGGGATGAGGAGACTGGGTGGACGGCGGGTGTGGGCCCTGTGGAGCACGGAGAGGCTGTGGCCCCCTTCCCTTCTCTGTCCCCTGGGTTTTGGGGTGTGGTGAGACCGGGGGGGCATCCCCGGGATGAGCCCGTGGTGCTGCCGCACGGCACCGCCCGGCCCGGGGCTGCGCATCCCCCGGGGACCCGGGATCGCTGTGCTGGGTGTCGGTGTGAGCTCCCGGGACACAGCCCCCCTATTCCCGGTGCTGATCCCTGGGTGTCGGTGTGAGCTCCCGGGACACAGCCCCCCTGTTCCCGGTGCCCTGGGTGTCGGTGTGAGCTCCCGGGACACAGCCCCCCTGTTCCCGGTGCCCTGGGTGTCGGTGTGAGCTCCCGGGACACAGCCCCCCTGTTCCCGGTGCCCTGGGTGTCGGTGTGAGCTCCCGGGACACAGCCCCCCCTATTCCCGGTGCCACAGGTGCTGATCCCCGGCTGCTCCCCGCTCCTGACATCCAGCGCTGGCAGCGGCGGGGCGGTTCCCGCTCCGGAGGGCCCCGCAGCCATGTCCACCTTCCGCCAGGAGAGCGTGGAGGACTTCTATGAGATGGGAGAGGAGCTGGGCAGGTGAGGCTCGTCCCGCTGCCTTCTCGGGGGCTTCCATGGCTGCAGCCCTGGCGGGAGCTTCGCTGGATCCGGCTGCTGCATCCCCCGCGGTGTCCCTGCGCCCCCTCCGTGCGCGGTCAGGCACCTCTGGCAGATAGAGATTTCTTTAAAAAGCGTTAATTAACGTTGTTCCCGGTGGAGCTCCCGTCCGGGGCTGGCGGCTTCCGGCCCTCCTCGCCTGGCTCGGCGCCTGTGGGAAGGATCCAGGGTGACTCAGAGCCCGCAGATGGGATTTAATCAGCCGGGATGCAGAGGCGGCGCTGGGGGAGCCGCCTCGGGATCCTCCAGCGCTGCCCCGGCCGCGCCAGCCCCGCGCCGTGGCCCCTCCTCGGGCACTTGGGCAGCAAAAGCGTTTTGGGTCACTTAAGTGTTGTTTTTTTTCCAAGCAGAGGAACTTCCAGGAGTTGCTGCAGGTTCTTTTGCCTCTCTGTGGCTGGGGTTGTTTGTGAGCCGTGGGGAGGGATGCGGTGGCCATGGCTGGACCCACTCTGCCCTCCAGGGCTGTGTGTGTCCCTGGCCACGATGCAAGGCTGTATAAAGGTATAAAAGAGTCTTCCTGGCCATGATTCAAGGATGTATAAAGGAGTCTCCCTTGCCATGATTGAGGGATGGATAAAGGTGTAAAGGAGTCTCCCTGGCCATGATTGAAGGATGGATAAAGGAGTCTCCTTGGGCATGATTGAGGGATGGATAAAGGAGTCTCCCTTGCCATGATTCAGGGATGGACAAAGGTGTAAAGGAGTCTCCCTGGCCACGATTCAGGGATGGATAAAGGTGTAAAGGAGTCTCCCTGGCCACGATTCAGGGATGGATAAAGGAGTCTCCCTTGCCACAATTCAGGGATGGATAAAGTCGTAAAGGAGTCTCAGGTCCAGGTGCAGTCACTCTGATTTCAGACATTTCCCCTCCACCTGCCTTCTCCATCAGGGCTTTGGGGTCTCCTGGGACCACTGGGCTCTGGGGTTTGCTCCTGGGGGCTCCAGGAGGAGCTGATGGGGGCATCTCCCAGCCTGGCTGATCACAGCAGCACCTGAGCAGCCCGGGGAGGATCGGCAGCTGCCACATTCCTGGCAGGAGTTTGCCAGAGCCCGGGAGCGGGTGGGCATCCCCAGATCTCAGCTCTCATGGGGGGGAAGGCTCATCCAGCAGTGCCCACCGTGGGGCTGTGGCAGGCAGGACGTGCTGTGCTCCCTCCCCTGCAGCGGGCAGTTCGCCATCGTCAGGAAGTGCCGGGAGAGGAAGACGGGGCTGGAGTACGCGGCCAAGTTCATCAAGAAGCGGCGGCTGTCGTCGAGCCGCAGGGGCGTGAGCCGCGAGGAGATCGAGCGCGAGGTGGACATCCTGCGCGAGATCCAGCACCCCAACATCATCACCCTGCACGACATCTTCGAGAACAAGACCGACGTGGTGCTCATCCTGGAGCTGGTGTCCGGCGGGGAGCTCTTCGACTTCCTGGCCGAGAAGGAGTCGCTGACGGAGGAGGAGGCAACGCAGTTCCTCAAGCAGATCCTGGACGGGGTGCACTACCTGCACTCCAAGCGCATCGCCCACTTCGACCTGAAGGTGAGCTCTGGGAGCTGCAGGCACCCTGTGTTCAGCTCTGGGAGCAGGGAGGAGCCCTCATGTAGGGTCTGGGAGCTGCAGGCACCCTGTGTTCAGCTCTGGGAGCAGGGATGAGCCCTCAGGTGGGCTCTGGGAGCTGCAGGCACCCTGTGTTCAGCACTGGGAACAGGGAGGAGCCCCCAGGTGGGGTCTGGGAGCTGCAGGCACCCTGTGTTCAGCACTGGGAGCAGGGATGAGCCCTCAGGTAGGGTCTGGGAGCTGCAGACCCCAGTCTGGGAGCAGGGATGGGCCCCCAGATGGGCTCTGGGAGCTGCACACACCCAATGTTCAGCACTGGGAGCAGGGATGAGCCCTCAGGTGAGCTCTGGGAGCTGCAGACACCCTGTGTTCAGCACTGGGAACAGGGAGGAGCCCCCAGATAGGCTCTGGGAGCTGCAGATACCCCATGTTCAGCTCTGGGAGCTACAGACACCCCATGTTCAGCACTAGGAGCAGGGATGAGCCCAGCCCCCAGGTGAGGTGTGGAAATCAGTGCTAGGGAGTGGGGTCAGTGCACTCCTGCAGAGCAGTGGGGCTGGTGCTTGGGATCTCTCCCAGCTTGAGGCACTCATCCTCCCCTCTGGAATGAGGAGCCCAGGGCAGCTTCCCCAGGCTGCTGTGTAGGGACAGACCCAGCTCCTCTCCCCCCACAGCCAGAGAACATCATGCTGCTGGACAAGAACGTGCCGAACCCTCGCATCAAACTCATCGACTTCGGGATCGCCCACAAGATCGAGGCTGGGAATGAGTTCAAGAATATCTTTGGGACCCCAGAGTTTGTAGGTGGGCATTCCTGGGGGCTCCTTGGGGTACTGAAAACTTTGGATTAATCCTGGAGAGACACCCAGCACTCGGGTGCTGCTGCTGCCAGGATGTGTCCATGGGGCCAGGCTTCCTTCCCCCACAATAAATCCATTTTCTTCCCTTTCCTCCTAAAGCCCCAGAAATTGTGAACTACGAGCCCCTGGGGCTGGAGGCCGACATGTGGTGAGTGATTCCCCTCCCGAGCCCCTTCCATGGCTCCAGCAGCCAATCCCCTCGTGCTGCTGGATCTCCCCTCGTGCCAAAAGCTCTGTGTGGCTTCATCCTCCTCCGTGTGGCTTCATCCTCCTCTCCCTCTCTCTTCCAGGAGCATCGGGGTCATCACCTACATCCTGTGAGTATGAGGCAGCTCTGGAGGGGACAGAGCTGCAGGATGAGCCCCCCACCTCGGGCTGGAGCCTTTTTGGGGTGTCCCAAGCCAGTCTCTCCTCAGGCTGAGCGGAGCCTCCCCGTTCCTGGGGGAGACGAAGCAGGAGACGCTGACCAACATCTCCGCTGTCAACTACGACTTCGATGAGGAATATTTCAGCAACACCAGTGAGCTGGCCAAGGACTTCATCCGCCGCCTGCTGGTCAAGGACCCCAAGTAAGGGACAGGAGCACAGCTGGGCTTCCTCTGGGAGAGGGGACAGTCCCCCCTGCCCACCCTGCTGTGCACAGGCAGCTCCTCTCTCCTGCCTGCGCCACGGTGGGGTGAGTTCTGGGACCACCCCAAGGGTGCAGTAGCTCCCCTGGGGTTTGGGAGGGTTTGAGCCGGGCCCCCAGGGCTCAGGGTTTGGGAAGGAGCAGTGGGGACAGGAGGTTCCCACAGCATCCTCTGCCTGTGCTTCCCTTGGGAGGCAGTTTGAGGGGTTGGGGGCTGGATACAGCTCCTGCCTGGGGGGGCCCTGAGTGCAGCAAGGCTCAGCCTGACCCCAAAGGCAATCACAGGATCCAAGCTGCTTTTCCAGGGCTGTGAGAGGGAAAGAGGAGCAGAGCCTCTGCCCTGAGCCCAGCCTTGCTGTGTTTGCAGGAAGCGAATGACCATCGCCCAGAGCCTGGAGCACCCTTGGATTAAGGTGAGAAGTGAAAGAATTTGCACTTTTTGGGTGCCTGACCCCCGAGGCCGGGGCTCTGCTGCTCCCCCAGCCCTGTGGGGGCCGGTTTGGTGTCACTGCCTGTGACACCTGCTGCAGCCACCACTGTCCCTGCCTCAGGTGATCAAGAGGAGGAACGTCCGCAACGAGGACAGCTGCAAGAAGCCCGAACGGCGCCGGCTGAAGACCACGCGCCTGAAGGAGTACACCATCAAATCCCACTCCAGCATGCCCCCCAACAACACCTACATCAACTTCGAGCGCTTCTCCAAGGTCATGGAGGAGGTGGCCGCGGCCGAGGAGAGCCTCCGAGAGCTGGAGAGGAACAAGAAGTCCTTCCAGGAGGACATCGAGGCGCTGCTGTCCATCTACGAGGAGAAGGAGTCGTGGTACAAAGAGGAGAACGAGAGCATCAGCCAGGACCTGCGGCAGATCCGGCAGGAGCTGCAGAAGACGGAGGCGCTGAAGAAGCAGGCGCAGGAGGAGACCAGGAGCGTGGTGCAGGCGGCCAACGGGCTCAAGCGGCGCTACCGCAAGCTGGAGAACCACTACGAGGCCCTGGCCAAGCAGGTGGCCTCGGAGATGAAGTTTGTGCAGGAGCTGGTGTGGTCCATCGAGCGCGAGAAGCTGCAGAGCAGCGAGGGTGACGGCAGCATCCGCTAACCCTGCTCACCCCCGGGGGCTCTGGTGTCCCTGCTCCTCCCCGGGGGCTCTGGTGTCCCTGCTCCTCCCCGGGGGCTCTGGTGTCCCTGCTCACCCCCAGGGGCTCCGGTGCTCCTCAGTGCCCCTGCTCCTCCCTGGGGCCTCCAGTGCTCCCCGGTGCCCCTGCTCACCCCTGGGGGCTCCGGTGTCCCTGCTCCTTCCTGGGGCCTCCGGTGCTCCCTGGTGCCCCTGCTCACCCCCGGGGCCCCTGGTGCCCCTGCTCACCCCAGGGGCCTCCACTGCTCCTCAGTGCCCCTGCTCACCCCCGGGGCCTCTGCTGCTCCCCGATGCCCCTGCTCCTCCCTGGGGGCTCCAGTGCTCCCCGGTGCCCCTGCTCACCCTCAGGGGCTCCGCTGCTCCTCAGTGCCCCTGCTCACCCCTGGGGCCTCCGGTGCCCCTGCTCCTTCCTGGGGGCCTCTGGTGCCCCTGCTCACCCCTGGCCTTGCCGGTGTACAGCAGGTGCTTGTGCCTCCCTGGAGCCCCCACCTCGGGGGGCTGGGGCTGTGCCACTCTGAGGCTTCCCACGTGCAGCTCCTGCCTGGCTCGTGCCCCTGCCCTCCCTGGGATGTTTGTCCCCTCCTGCCACCCGGGTCCCCTGAGCTGCCCCAGTGCCCCGTGGAGGGGTTGGTGGGCAGGACTCCCCCCTCACTGCAGCAGCAGCCACGCATGGGCTGGGACCAAGGACTGATCCCTGCGTGGCCTCACGCTCCGCAGGCCCCCCCTGCACCCCACATTCCCCCCAGGCTGCTGCACCCCCTGTCCCCCTGTCCCAGCCCTGGCTCCCCCTTTTCCCACAATAAATAAAGGTTTCTGTGTAGTGGGGTGGCTGCCATGGTGGGACAGGGCTTGGGAGGGAGATAAGGATGTGCCCCGTGGTGACAGCTCCCCCAGTGTGCTCCCATCCAGGGGGACTTCCTTAATTTGGGGGGAAGAATGCTTTTATTCCTTATGAAACCCAGTGCTGGTAGGTGAGCTTGCTGTGGTGGGCACGGAGGGAGGTCTGGGGGTGGTTTGTGGGGTGTTCCCAGCCTGGGGGAGCCCCCAGCTCCTCTTGCCTGAGATCCCTCACTCCTGGGGACAGGGGGAGCCAGGTCCCAAAGCGTTCTCACGTTCCAGAGAACACCAGAGCACGGAGCACGTTTCCCCCGGGAGCACCGCGGGCTTTCCGACTGCCTGGGGCCCCCCGGAGCCAAGATGCAGCAGAATTTGATCCGGGGGAATCACCAGCCAAATGCCAGTGGGTGGCAGGCGTTCCCCTGGCAGGCCAGGGTGGCTTCACCTCCAGCTCAGCTCCAGGCCCAGGGGGGTTTGCTCCATTTGGGGTTTATTTGTCACCCTTCTGTGTCCCCTGTGGCTCCCTGGGGAGCAGGGGGGCTGTGCCCCATGTCCCTGTCCCTGCTGACGCTCCAGCAGGTGTAGGTTTCACCCCCCTGCACGGGACACGTGGACCTGGGATAATTTGATCTGCCCTGGTGTTCCCTGCCAAGGCCCTTGGCTGCCAGGGGAGGTGGCGTGACCGGGGCTGTCCCCATGTCCAGCACGGCCACCAGCCCTGGCCACGTGAGTGAGGGGACACCTGGGGCTCGCGGTGTGGATCTGGTGCAGCCCCAGCTCTGCCGGCACAGGCAGGGGGTGAAGGGATGGATGGAAACCCTGCAGTGCCGGCTGTTCCCCAGCTGGCCAAAGGTCACATAGTGAGAAACATTTCCTGGATTCTCTTCCTGCCCAGGCTTTGGGTTTCACGCTCCCAAAAGGCTCTTGGAAGTCACCGGTCATTCACCCCGGCCCTGGAGCAGGCAGGGGGATCTCGCTCACGTGGATGCACGAAATGACACCAAAATAGCTCTAAAATAGCAGAATTTGGGGTGTGATTCACGATGCCACAAATCTCCTAATCCCGAGGCCTGCAGGAGTTCTGGAATGGGCTGTGCTGCCCCAGGGGCTTCCAGCACTGGGACGTTCCCAGGATGTTCTGCTCCAGCCCCCTCTTAGCAGCTGGAGCTGCCACCCCCCCCTCTGTGGACAGAGACACCAAAATGCCTTTTTTAGGCTCCCATTTCTGCTTCCCAGAGCTTGGCAGGCGGTGGGAGCGAGGGCTTTTCCCTTATAAGTCTTCACAAGCCCCAAACGCTCTTGTGCGGCTCAAGCCAACCTGTGCAGGCACAGGGAACCCCACGGCTGCAGCCCTGAGCTCTGGGCAGCGCTGCCCAGGGTGACAGGTCACAGTCCCTGCCTGGGGACAGTGCCAGCACAGTGGGGTGGGTGTCCCCAGGTCCCTTTCTGGCCATGCCATCCCTGCCCAGCACAACTGGGAAAGCATCGGGGTGGGACGAGAGCAAGGAGCTGGATCTGGCTCCCCTCGGGCTGCTGAAAGCGCCCCTGGGTGGGTTTCTGGGTTATTAACTCATTAACTAAAATTAAATTAATTCATTAAAAGCAGCTGCTTTTCCAGAGCAGTTCCTAATTCAGGCCCCAAAATCTTGGGAAGGGACCCCCCAGCCAAGTTATTTCAGTGCTGAGAGCTGCCAGGGCTCATCCCCCAGGTGCTGCATGGGGAGGCCCCACACGCATTCAGGGATGGCACTGACCCCTCTCAGGCTGGAGTTTGGATGCTGTTTTACCTTTAATCCCTGAAATGGCTCGAAGCACAGTTCTCATTTCTCTTCAGGGATAGCACTGACCCCTCTCAGGCTGGAGTTTGGATGCTGTTTTACCTTTCATGCCTGAAATGGCTCCTAGGGAAGCACAGTTCTCATTTCCCTTCAGGGATGGCACTGACCCTCTCAATCTGAAATTTGGATGCTGTTTTACCTTTCATGCCTGAAATGGCTCCTCAGGAAGCACAATTCTCATTTCTAATTCCCTGAGAAATCCCCCCCAGTTCACCTCATGGTTTAAATTCACAAACTGAGCCATTCCCACCTGGCTGGGGCCAGGTGAGCACCCAAACCCTCGCAGTGAAGGGAGGAGCTTTGAGGCCACCCAGGGCTGGAATCCCAAAAAAAAAACCCATGAAAAAGGGGCTCTTGTGTTTTGGATGAGCTTCACACCCGTTTTTATTGCAATAATAAAGCTGAGTGATGAATTAAACCAGGTCCTCATGAGTGATGAATTAAAGCAGGTCCTCAGAAGGAGACTGAAGTGGATTTTTACTGAGTTGATGATGTTACAAACAAGCCTTGCACGAAGCCTTTCTGTCTGCAGGAGCTCTCTTGTTTTCCCAGCACAGCTCTACTTGCTCTGCTATAAAAATGCCGTTTCCAGCTTCTCTGTAAGCCAGCGGAATATAAAATAATTATAAAATAAACCCCACCAAGGCCATCCTGTCCATGTGGTGGGAATAAGTTATCCTCAGTTTTCAATTATATACAGAAGGGACTTGCCAAAGGGCAGTGGGAGGGGAGTTCACACAAATTCCCACTCCCACTTCCAAGTATTATTTACATCGCTGTACACGGATCTTCGGGATCCTCCCAACCCTGGAAAAGGAGGAAGGGAAAAAGGGTGAGATCCCAAACTGTGAAATTCCCCAGAACAATCCCTCATCCTCCACCCTCTGGATCTGAGTTACCTATGAGCAATTTAGGAGCTTGTTGTGAATATCTTCAAAGACTTGGTTGTAGAGTTCATCCCTGGACTTCAGGCCATCTAAATAAACTGGGAGAGAAAAGGAGTCAGGCTGGGCTTCCCATCAGGATAAGATTTTAGGAGATTAGTTTTTAAAATATATTAATTTAATATTTAATATATTAAAAAATATTTCATATTTTATTGACCCAAACTTGGAAAAACAGAACCATCCTGAAAATACAATGGCCTGTGAAATCCTTATCCCTTATAAGGATTATAATTATAAATCCCTTCTTTTTCTTTTGGAGTTTTTTTGTCCCCTCTGAGTCCTTAAGAGTACAAAGCAAAAGGAATAAGTTCTTTGCTCTAAAACTGCCAGTACTTATCCAAAGTAGGCCAGGATTACAACTTGGGAGTAAAAATATCACCCTGCATCATCACAGTGGAAGCTTCCTCCAATGAAATCACCCAATTCCTTAAATCCCAGGACTGAGGGATTTGTGTTTGGGGAACACTTACCCACATCCACCCCAGAATCCTCCATCTCCTTCCTGTGTTTGAGGTACATGGGCCAGACGTGGCCGTCGAAGAGCCCCGGCGGGTCGGGCACGGTGTAATTCCGTGTACTGGAACAACAGCACGGAGAAGGAGCCTCAGGGAGGGGTTAGGAAAAGAAACTCCCATGGAAAGGGTGGTGAGGGAGCAGCACAGGCTGCCCAGGCAGCGCTGGAGTGCCCATGGCTGTGCTTGGGCACCTGGGGATGTGGTCAGTGGTGAGTGGTGAGGGGTTCATGGCTGGGCTCCATCTCAGAGGTCTTCTCCAAGCGCAGCCATTCCACGCTGACCACATCAAATCCCTTCCTCCCATTCCCGGCAAATTCCCCACTCGAATCCAACTCATGGCACCAACACATCCCAGAACTGTCAGGGTCCATCCCTGGCACTGCCCAAGGCCAGCCTGGGGTGGTGGGAGGTGTCCTGGCCATGGCAGGGCTGGCACGAGATCACCTTTAAGGACCTCCCAACCCCAACCACTCCATGACTCCATGAGATGATCTCTAAGGACCTCCCAACCCTAACCCCTCCATGATTCCATGAGATGACCTTTAAGGACCTTGCAACCCCAACCCCTCCATGATTCCATGAGATCACCTTTAAGGACCTTTAAGGTCCTCCCAACCCCAACCCCTCCATGATTCCATTCCTTAGATGATCTCTAAGGACCTTTAAGGACCTTGCAACCTCAACCCCTCCATGACTCCATGGGACCTTCCAACCCCAACCAACTCCATGATTCCATGAGATGATCTCTAAGGACCTCCCAACCCCTCCATGATTTCATGAGATCACCTTCAAGGACCTTTAAGGACCTCCCAACCCCTCCATGATTTCATGAGATCACCTTTAAGGACCTTTAAGGTCCTCCCAACCCCAACCCCTCCATGATTC